CAGTAACTTCAATAGTTTGTAATGTTGTCTAATCCGGAATGTTGTCTAATCCGACCAATTTCTGTGGAACCAGTGGTGTCCGGATTAGACAAGTTTTACTGTATATTCCTATGTAAAACTTTGATCCCCTATTGTGACCCCACCCTACCCCCCATGGGGGGGGGCATGATTTGAACAAAGTTTATTCTACACTGCCTGAGGATGCTTCAAAATCAATATGACTAATCATGGCTTTGCTGTTCTTGAGAAGAAGATTTTTCAATTAAGATTTTTTTCCTATATATTCTTATGTAAAATTTGATCCCCTGTTGTGGCCCCACCTACCCCGGGGGTCATGACTTGAACAAACTTGAATCTACACTACCTGAGGATGCTTGCATATCGAAATGACTAATCATGGCTTTGCTGTTTTTGAGAAGAAGATTTTTTCAAGATTTTTTCCTAATATTCCTATGTAAAAATTTGATCCCCCAATGTTACCCCGGGGGTCATGATTTGAACAAACTTGAATGTACACTATGTAATGAAGGTTTCACATAAGTTTCAACTTTTTTGGCCTAATGGTTCTTGAGAAGAAGATTTTTAAAAGATGCCACCAAATTTTCTTTAATTCTTAATTATCTCCCCTTAAAAGAGGGCCTGGCCCTTCATTTGAACAAACTTCCCTTTACCCTAAATTACTCTGTGCAAAGTTTGGTTGAAATTGGCAAAGTGGTTCTGGAGAAGAAGTCGAAAATGTGAAAAGTTTACAGACAGACGGGCTTTCAGCTCAGGTGAGCTAAAAACTATATAGACAAAATAAAATTGTAGATGATACATTTCTCAAAGACAAGAGTAAGGACAATCAGGAATGAGCAAAATAATTAGTCTAGTAATGAGCAACAACACAGAAAGTAGATTCATGTGGTCCATATTGTCTAAAAGAAAATTCCAATGATATTTGATGTCTTCTGCAAGTTTTAATGAAAATACAGGAAAATGCACAGGTTCATGACGTCACAATTTGTAATAAAGAGTTCATATATGAACTAGAAGTCTCTGATGAGACTGTAGCTCTACCGGTTTGTACTTATAACAAAGGAGGAGGAAAGAAGCATTTTGACTTGAGACACTGGAACAGCATTAAGTAGAATAATGATCCTTGGTTTAGTCTCTTTTTGTGGCAAGAATTATTGCAATCAGACTATAAATCTGAAGGAGGAGTAGCCTTTAGGAAAAAAAAAATTACAGAAATTTCTTTTTTTAGTAACCATGGCAGCACTGTTCATCGAAGTCAAAAACTAATTTATAGAATTATATTTCTTAGTGTAATCTACTTGTGTGCCATGTTAAATTGAAATCAGACCAAAACAGTAAGAGGAGTAGCGTTTTGAAAGTATTTGAAAGAAATTTTTATTTTTAGTTACCATGGCAACATCGTTCATCGAAATCAAAAACTGATAAATAGAATTATGTAACTTAAAGTAGTCTACTTGTGATCAAAGTTACATTGAAATCAGACCAAAACTGTAAGGGGAGTAGCGTTTTGAAAATTGTTCACAGATAGACGGACAGATAGATGGACAGACGACGGACACCTTACTATCGCATAGGCTCTTCTGGTCTCTGACCAATTGAGATAAAAACTGTATAATCTTTCTGCATGTGAATTTAAAAGCATTAGTTTCTGACCACAATTTCATATTTTAAGAAAGAAACTACAGGGTCAAATTTGTATTAAACTGTACCTTCTTCTTTGCCCTAAACAATATCTGAAATAGTGCAAGAATCTACATTTTCTCCATAAATCACAGCATCTTTTTCCAGACAATTATAGCTATAAAAAGACTTGAGAACCTACCTTCTGTAATATACAAAGTGTTATCTAACCACATGTTCTTGATCTTGACATATTGTAGAGGGCAGTTTATTTGTAAATACGTTTTCTATGAGGTTTCTAATTGGTGGAAAATTATCTTCAATGTCTAAAACAGTGCAAGAATCTACATTTTCTTGATAATTCAGGGCTTCTATTTCTAGAAAATTGTTGCTATAAAAACAAATGAAAGTAAATGTTCTTGTTCATGACATATTGTGGACAGTTGTATTATTTTGTAAATATCTTTTTAGATGAAGATTATCATTGGTGGATCGTTGTCATTATTTTCTCATATGCTAAGACAGAATTTTTTTTTTGGGTGTTTCATGCTATAAATAAGAAAAAGAAACCTCATTCAAATAGTGTGTATTTTAGTAAATGGTCACTAGTGCTTGTCAGTCACATAATGGTTATAACAGTAACTGTTAGGATGCAAAGTTTTCATCCGTTACGTGTGAAATAATGCAGGAATTTACATATTCTGAATAGCTCACAGCATTTTGATTTTGTTGACAATTTTTGCTATTATAAAAAATAAGAGTTCACCCCCAAAATAGTGTCAATTTTTAGTTGACTAAGTATTCTAGTTAATGATATATTGTAGAGAGCAGTTTATTTTTTTAATATATTTTTCTGTGAAGCTTCTTACTGGAAAACTGTTATTTATACTAATATATTAAGACATGGAAATTTTAAGGTGTTTGATTCCAGAAATAGAGATGAGAACCCCCTTCAAATACAGGGCATTACAGTAAATGGTAACTAGTACTTGTCAGTTCCTGTTGTTGAAATATTGTAGATAGCAAATTGTTTGTAAATACTCTTTATGAAGCTTCCAGTATGTGGAAAATTTTCATTTTACCTCATATACTAAGATGTTTCTAAGTTTTTATTTTTTGTGCTAAAATTAGAAATAGGAATCCCCTTGAAATATTTTGCATTTCAGTTATTGGTTTCTAGTACTTATCAGTCACATTATGTTTATAGTAGAAAGTATTCAAATTTTCAATCCATAATTGTATGAAATAGTGCAAGGATGTATATTTTCTAAATAACTCACTGCATCTATTTTTAGACCACTGTTGCTATAAAAAGAAAAGAGAGTCCATCTTCAATATTGTGTCACTTATTAATTGCCCAAATGTTCTTGTTCATGACATATTGTAGACAGCAGTATGTTTTGTAAATACTTTTTCAATGAAGCTTACAACTGGTGGAAAATTGTCATTTTTCCTCATATGCTGAGATGTTTCTATTTTTGGGTGTTTGGTGCTATAAATAGAAAAGAGAACCCCCTTCAGATAGTGTGTATTTCAGTAAATGGTTTCTAGTACTTGTCAATCACACTAAGTTTATAACAGTTAGTCTGCATTTTTTCCATCCAACATTGCCTGAAAAATTGAAAGAATCTACATTTTCTCGATAATTCGAGGAATCTATTTTTAGACCATTATTGCTATAAAGAGAAATAAGAGTCCATCCTCAAGATTGTATCAATTATTGTACAAACACTTGTTCTTTTTGAAGGCATATTGTAGAAAGCTTTATATTTGTTAATACTTTTTCTATTAAGCTTCCAATTAGCACAAAACTGTCAGTTTTCCTAATTTTCAGAGACATATCTATATTTAGGTGCTTGATACTATAAATAGAAATGGGAATCCCTCTCAACCATTGTCCACTCCAGCTAGTGGTGTCCAGCTACTGTCATTAACATCTTAAATTTTGCAAGATACTTCCTAATTTTCCAGCAATGACATCTAAAACTTTGCCAAAATTTGATTTTTTACAGTTTACCAAAACATATCTATTTATAGATACATGTTACTAAAAATAGCATTAAAAGCCCACTGATATTTTTTCATGAGATGACACTACTAATTCTCAAGTATAAAAACACACATAAGATTTGAAAATTTTCCACGGACAATTTTTCTTATTTAGCCTTAAAGATCTCAAAAAATACTAAATTTTCCATTTTTCACATTTTCAGGAACCATGTCAGTTTGTATGACCTTTTTCTTAGAGTGGGAATATTTCTAGAATAAATGATTATATGCCCTGTGTACCTTAAAAGTTCACGTTATCATATGATCCAATGATTTTTGTTTGAGTGTATTAGATACCGATAAATATTCGTTTACATTTCCTCAATTTTCATGTTTTCATTTGGTCAAAAAGGGTAAAAAATGGCCAAATTCTATGAATCCGTCTCCATGGCAACCAAGTGCACGTGTGGAACTTCCGACACCATATTTGCTAGTTTTGTACCAAGACACACCTGTGGTGCAAATTTCATCAAAATCCGAGACATGTCGTTTCCAAGCCCTATAGTAAATTTGTTGGTGCTTACAGAGAATGCATGTTAATATCTCATCCGAAGGACCCGCAACTTTCATGTGTCGAGCGCCTGGCAAAGGAACAGTTGCTACCTATTTTTTATCGACTTAGGTCAGTCGCTGTCGAGATTCGAACTTACGACCTTCCGATCACGGAGTGAGCGCTCTACCGACTGAGCTACCATGAATAGTATATAGACAATATTGAAATGATATTGCTGTTATAGAAAATATTGAAATGATATTGTTTTTATAGACAATTTTGAAATGAATTTGTTGTTATAAACAATGTTGAAATGATATTGTTATTATAGACAATATTAAAATGATATAATTAAATTATTATAGATAATATTGAAATGATATTGCTGTTACAGACAATATTGAAATGATATTGTTGTTATAGACAATATTGAAATGATATTGTTGTTATAGGCAATATTGAAATAATATCGTTGTTATAGACAATATTAAAATGATATTGTTGTTATAGACAAGATTGAAATAATATCGTTGTTATAGACAATCTTGAAGTGTTGTTGTTTTTACATGTATGGACAATTTTTATACTTAAAGAATGAAAACTTAGCTATCAATGATTGAATGATCCATGATTTATTATTGATACAATATTGTTGTTACTGACTAAATCAACAGGAAGGAAAACTTGGTAAAATGGAAAGTATTCAAACATGAACACAAGAATAAAGAAACATTTTAGCAAAACAAAACATTTAATCTTTGGTCAAATTATCATGTTTATTGTCATTGACATAATTCTGTAACTTTTATAATAATTTCAGATTTCAAATGTCCAGGAGGAAACCCTGCTGAGATTAAGACCTGTGCTTCAGATGAGTCCTGCTCTGTGACAGAATTTTGTAACAAAGGAACATGTTGTCCTAAAACAATTAACCAAGGTGATTCAGCTTTGATATTCTTGTTTTAAAAATCTCTGGAATATTTAAAAAAATTAAAACATCGTAGTTAGTTGTACATGTGTGTATTTTTTAAAGTCTTTCAAGTTTGTTGAACAACCTTCCAATATTTATGAGTTAAGTACCTTCACAATTCACTATTTGTACCTTTTGTTATAATTTCAGATTTCAAATGTCCAGGTGGAAACCCTGTTGAGATTAAGGCCTGTGCTTCAGATGAGTCCTGCACTGTGACAGAATTTTGTAACAAAGGGACATGTTGTCCTAAAACAATTAACCAAGGTACGTGATACAACTTTGATATTCTTGTTTTAAAAATCCTAAAATATTTTGATTTTAACAAATTTTAGGCTTTAAGGTTGCCAATTTTGTCAAACAGCCTTTGAATATGTATAGTTTAAACACGTTTTACAATTCACAATACATATTTTTTGTTGTAATTTTAGACTTCAAATGTCCAGGTGGAAACCCTGTTGAGATTAAGTCCTGTGCCTCAAATGAGTCCTGCTCTGTGACAGAATTTTGTAACAAAGGAATATGTTGTCCAAAAACAATTAACCAAGGTGATACAACTTTGAAATTTTCACAAGGGGTTGGTTTTATGACATAAAGATTTCTGTCTTTTAAGATGGGAACATACTGTGGTATTGCGATTGTCTGACTGTCTGTATGTTAGCTTTTTCGTGTCCGGCTCATTACTTTCTAAAATACTATGAGGCCTAGAATAAGCAAACTTTGTCAGCTGATACATCTTGGGTAGAAGGTGTGTCACACATTAAAAGTAGGTTGCTGTGACCTTTAACTAGGTGATATGGCTAAATATGGCAAAATCCTAGAAAAAGACCTAGAATAATTAAATTGGTCAATTAATGCATCTTAGGTGGATGATGTGTCACATCTTACTTAAAAGTCACTGTGACTTTTAATTGAGGTGAAATTAAAAAAAAAAACTTTTTAAATTACACAATCCTAACAGATGTTAGAGAATTGCAGTAATCTTATCAAAAATTTTTAAATCAAGAAAATACACATTTTTTTTAAGATAAGGTATACAGCAATATATAAAAAACATAATATTTCTTTTGTGTTAATCACAAGAGAAAATTCTACATGTACCATGGGTGTAATTATCAAGCAATGGTGTTTCAAGGAACATTTTGATAAGAGCATCGTGAAGTAGTGATTAATTGATGAGTTCAGTGTAAGAAGATTCCTTGTAGAGCATCTCTGATCAAGCAGTTGTTATCTTTATCTCTTGGGAACTGGGCAGAGGAATCTGGCTCCTTTATTGCAATTCATAGTATCTGTCAAATTAAAATAGTTCTTATTCAATAAAGGCTGGCCATTGCTTTCAAAATTATTTTGGTATAAAGTTATTAAAATTAATTTGATATTGTATTATGTATTATTTTTACTTTAATTTTTAAATTTCAACAACGAATTTCAGAGTGTCATATCTCACTAAGATGACAGTTTTAAAGTACAGTTGAACTTTGGTATCTCAAATTTGGATATCTCGAATACCATGGATATATCGAAGTGATTTTGAAGTCCCAACTTGTTGTGGAAAGAAATAAAAGACGTCTTGATCGTATAGTGGTTTATTTGAGACTTGTTATTATCTATAGAAACAAACGAAAGTATTATGACGTCACAACAAAGTTTACGTTACATGAATTCGCGGATAATCCATGACACTCCGGGCACCAAAATGAATAGTAAAATTTGAAAAAGCTCATATTAAATTAACAGTTCCAGTGAAATAAAAAGCAAGTTCATAATCACTAAATTAAGAGGTCCATTCAAGAATTCTTTCTTTGGCTTTTGGTTTTGATACTCGATCATCTTCTTTTCAGACACTTTATATTTCAGGTTTTGTATCAGAGTCTCAGTTTCCGAGTGCTTGTGACGTAGTTCTGTGTTAGCTCTCTCCAGCTCCATGTTCCGAGTCTGTAGGTTGTTGTTTTGTTTCTTTATCTCTGCCATGTCCCTGAAATTCTTTTTCGGTGACTTATCTTTTTCCTTCTCCTCGGCCACTTTAAGTTTTTCTATCAGCTGAGTTTTCTCCCTTAGTTCCTCATCACGAGTCTTTACAGAGAACCTATAATCTCTGTTCCTGCTATCTACGGAGCCCTGTAAAGTTTGCAGCTGATTTTCCAACCTCTGTACGTTGATCTTTAGATCACTTATTTCCTTTCGAGTGTAATCACATCGTGACTGAAGACTGTTGTTTTTAGCCTTGAGATGCTCCGAGTCAGAGGTGGCGGTTTTGAGTATGTCAACTTGGCCCCTTAATTCCTGAATCTCCTTATGCAGACGTCCGTTTTCGTACGCCAGTTTATTTTTCTGTTCCATCATTTCCTTCATCACATTCTCTACACGAGTCTGAAAATCCTTTTGTTGGTCGAATTGTGACACTCTCTCTAACAGGGTGGCATTCTTACTCTCCAACGCGTTCCTCCTTTGTGTCTGTGTCTTCAGCTCTGATTTTAATTTTTGTATCTCGTTAGTCAGCTTGTTACGTTCTTCTAGCATGGAGTCCATGGTCCGACTTATCGAAGAGATAGGCCTAGCTGTATTCAGTAAAACACTTGTAGGTCGATGTTCAACGTTCAGTACTGTGGTTTCTGGCTTCTTACTCGTTTCTACGATATTGACACTTGTTGATTTGGTGGGCTCGTCTCTGTCCCTCGTTAGTTTCATGTTGCATATACTTGTGTGGTGTTTTTTCTGACACTTTTTACACCTGTTGCGGGATTTACAATCTGAGGCGTGGTGGTTTCCCAAGCAGTTGAAACATAATTTCTTCCGTTTTAAGATGTCAAATCTTGCACTTATGTCTGTAACTTTCTTACAATCCCCTGGAAAATGATTCTCTGTGCAACAATAAATGCATGGGCGGCTCTTCATCTCTGTTGTTTCAACATGAGGAGTTGACTCTCTCGTTTTCTGGTTATGTGAATAACGAACGTTGTGTTGTTTCTGTGAAGCACTGGTAAAAAACACTGCTGTTGCGTGAAATCCATCGCTGTTTTCAATCTGGCCTGATTCAAGGATTTGACTTCTTTGCTGATAGCTTTACGAAGATTTTGTAGTGAAATGTTGTCACCATCGTACTCACGTGCAATGTTTTTCCTAATTTCAGTTGGTAGCTTGTTGATTATGACTGGAATAAGTAATGCTCCAAACATCTCTTGTCTTTGTCCTAGACACTCTAAACTCCTGACATGAGATTCCAAGAAGTCTCCATACTTTCTTAAACTAATGACATCATTTCTGGGGGCAGGAAGTTCGATGAGTGCTCTCATATGAGCGTTAATAATTTTCTGTGGCTGACCAAATCGTTCTTTGAGCAAGTCTATTGCCGTTTCGTAATTAGCATTTGTAAGCGCAAATCCTGCTATTGTTTGTGCTGCTGTGTCGCGTAATTGAGCTTTGAGATAGCTAAACTTTTGAATTGGCGTTAAAGTATGATTGCAATGAATCGTTGATTCGTAAGAATCCCAAAATGTATTCCATTCTAATACATCTCCGTAAAAATGCGGAAGATCTAGCTTTGGTAATCTGTGATTATTCGTAGCGTGTTGGGATGTTAATGACAAAACATTTTCCTGGCTACTTTGTGCATTGAGATCAGAGGCAGGATAATTGTTCAAAATATTCTCACAAGCCGTTTCACTTGAGTTAATTGTAGCTGACGTGTTAACGTTATTATCATAAATTTCTGTGGCGGGTGTAAAACACTCAGCATTGGCATTCAAAGTTTTACATGGAATTTTTTCTGTAAATTTTTCAGTTTGCCTAATTTTACAGTCTAATTCATACATGTACTCATCTGTATTTGCGATTTCTGTTTCGATGTCCTCTTCAGATAGGATATCCAATATGCGGTCATTCAATTCTTGTAGGGTCTGCCTTTTCAGCGCGAGAGACTTTCTAATTATGTTGATTTCCTCGGTAATTTCTTCACTGGCTGAATTTTCCTTCAAGTCCAAAAACCGTCCAAATAGCTTTGTAACTGCTGATCTGTTGCCGGCTCGTATAGCTTTTAGTCTTCCTTCCATTGTATGTACTACGTAGAATTCCGTCGGTCACGGCACCAAAATGTTGTGGAAAGAAATAAAAGACATCTTGATCGTATAGTGGTTTATTTGAGACTTGTTATTATCTATAGAAACAAACGAAAGTATTATGACGTCACAACAAAGTTTACGTTACATGAATTCGCGGATAATCCATGACACAACTACTTATTTCTTAAGTTTTTTACCCTGGATATCTCGAACCATGGGTTATCTCAAAGTATTTTTTTCGGTCCCTTCAAGATAACTAGTTTGACTGTATAAGAATAAAAATTATGATTAGTGTTTGAAGTTTTATTAGGCTGTAGCATTATTCATAAAAAAATACCTTTACCACGCACTCTTGTCTGTTTATGATAATTGAACAGTATTTGATGGGCGTATCATGTGCCGTTGCGGTGCACTTTATTAGATTTGAAATAATTCTAGTCAGTATTAAAATTTTATAGATAAGTGCATTGTTGTTGCTAAGTTAAATAAACCCAAGCCTATATCTAATCATAATTTAAGGTTAACATTAGACCTACACAGCTTAGTTTCTTGTTTCATGTAATCACATTTGGTAATTCACACACCTTTTGTTATAATTTCAGATTTCAAATGTCCAGGTGGAAACCCTGCTGAGATGAAGAACTGTGTCTCAAATGAGTCATGCTCTGTGTCAGAATTTTGTAATAAAGGGACATGCTGTCCAAAGGCATTCAACAAACCAGGTATGGCCAATTAAAATCAGTAGGAAAAAACTATAGTGCTGGGAATGAAAGGGAAAATTAGGAAATAAAGTTATGTCAGTCTCAAGTTGACATAATTATTATGATTCATATAAATACTCTTAAGTAATTCAGGGAAAAAAAAAACATGAATCAAAACACAATTGTCTAGGTAAGGGGTGGGGTATCAAGTCCTTAAAGAACTTTGAGAAAAAAATGACTTTCTCAGTAACTATGCTTCCCAAACATTTACAACTTGTGTATGAAATGTTACTTGCCTAATGCAAACAACTTAGAATACACAATTTTAGAAGCTAAAGCCATGGGAAAACCTTCCTAATTTGACAAAGTAACTGAATTCAATATTTTGTTAAAAAGACATTTTTCAATGTTTGATTTTTTTTTTCAATCATTTCATAACAATGCATTGGGAGTTGTAAAAGAGGATGGATGGGTACAGATGATTTTGAAGTCAATAGTTTTGTTGACATACAGATATCACAAGTTAAATTACAGAATTTTTGCCATTAGGATAATTGAATACAAATCTTTTTAGTAATAAGTCATAAACCAAAGACCGAGAATAACTCGAGGAAGACTCCTTTGTTAATATTTGCAAGATTTAGTTCACTAGCACAGCATAAATTGATTTTTACCTTTACTACAATTGAATTTGATGAATTCTTATTTGTCCTACAAATGCTAAAAAAGGAAGATGTTCATGTATTGCAAATAAGTATCTGCCAAGGTCACTTTGGAAGAGGTCATGTTATTGAATTCTATTTCAACCATGAGTCATGAGTCTTAATAAATCTGACATAGAAAACATCATTAGATAATGGTAGAACGCTATTGTACACTTTTACAGGATCATGCCCAGCGGTGCGCAGGGGTATGGTAGGGATATGTGTAGAGCAGTGTTCAGATGATAGTGCTTGTAGAGGGGATCTAAAGTGCTGCTCCAATGGGTGTGGTCACACTTGTCAAAAACCAGGTAAGCAGTACAGATACACTCAATTGATGGGATTAACATGGCTTGATTTTAATAACTGACAATTTGATTTATTAAACATAGTGCAGCCACTGAGTGTTCTAGTGTCCAAATAAAATTCATTTCATAATACATGTATATGTAACACTGATTACTGCACACAATGTATTAAATATATTTAAGGAATAACCGTTTAGTTTTTTTGGTTTTATGATGTGTTCAATCAATTTGCTCGTGTGATAATTTGCATAAACGCCAAACGTTATGCGTAAATTTATCACGTGAGCAAATTGATTGATCATCATCATAAAACCAAAAAAACTTACAGTTTTTCCTTATATTTGTACATTTTTACCGGATCCTTGATTCAATAAAAAAAAAAATCAATAATAAGAAATCTTAGCATCCCCGCCAGGTGTGTTACTAAGCAACACCCAGCAAAAAAGCATGCAGTTCTGTCACATGCTGAGCAAATCGCTTTATGGGGTTATAAAGCTATTACCTTATTTGTAGTTTTATCTCAGAGAAAGACATTTGAAAATGTAAATATTAGTAAATATTTTGATTGACAAAGTATTCATAAGTCTTGATTGTTGGTTAATGTATAGTCTGTATTTAGTACATTAATAACTTAACAAACAGTCAATAGACAAATGCATGCATTTTACATTAAAATGGAAGATAAAATATTCCAGAGAGTTGTAAGATTTATTTCAGGTATATTAATGCTATTTGTTGCTCAGTTTGTGCAATGGAGAAGATAGCAAATATGAATTAATCAACTAAGCAATAAATCTTATGATTAGAAACAATGGGGATCAAAAACAATAAATTAATCCTACTATGAAATTTGATTTTAAAACCTGACACAAAGTAAAATATGTTTTACTCAAGGTATGTAAAAATAACCTGCCCAGAGGATGCTACATGTTTACAATATTTATGTACAGTTAAAAAGCCAGGTAAATGCCCAGCGAGTCTGAAGAACCTTGGAGGACTGTGTATTGGACAGAAGGATGTCCCTAACTGTAAAACTGACAATGACTGTCCAACATCAGAGCTGTGCTGTAGGAGTGACTGTGGAATACATGTCTGCTCACCTCCAGGTACAACCAGTATACCCTGTATTTATAAAAAAAAAATGTGTTAGAATTTCTAAAAGCAACACTAGTTCAGCTTTACAAATAAGCAAGAAATTGCTGTCTGACTTCCTTTGGTGTTGAGTTCCACAGCAAAAAGGTATAATTTCTTTATTCAGATGGGTAGATGGATGAAAAAATGTCGTAAAAACTTGAAGGGGAAAAATAGAAGAGAAATGGCAATTCTTATGTTTACTGTACTTTCTATTTAACAGAAGAGAAGACCCCATGTCAGAGAGAACTAGAGGCCGCCTCTCTTCAGGTCTTATCTCAGGTGGACAGTTGTAACCCAGTCTTTATTCCAAGGTCAGTTTGTCATGGATTTTGATTGAAATTTTTAGCCAAAGTTATCACAGAAAACTTCAAGCTTTCATCTCATAGCCATATTACTTTGATATTAATTGTCTGAATTTAAAATAATATGTACAATGTATTTTATCTTTTATCATAATTCAAATTTTCATCTCTTAAAATTTTTAATACCAGTAAATTATTAAATGAACTGTTAAAATTATTACTTTATAGGTGTGATTCTAAAGGGAATTATCAAAGAACACAATGCTATGATCATAATGGCATGTGCTTTTGTGTTTTCCAAAATGGAACAAAAATTCCAGGGACTGAAGTCAGAGGAAATCCAGATTGTTCCAGGGGTATGCATTTTTTTTACATTCAAAACACTTTTCATTTTAAATGCTGCATGAAATGTCAACTTTTTTGGATTTGAAACAGTTTTATATCAAGTTTAGGTCATGGTAGGGATGCTGGACAATTGTGAAAACATAAATGGACTGTACACTATATGTATCACTTTGATTTTGAGTTTATTTTAAGAATAAAGAATTAATCAGTTTTGTATCGACATTTTTAGCTCTACTGGACAGAGACTAGAAGAGCTTATGCGATAGTAGGGTGTCGTCGTCTGTCTGTGTTGCTGTCTGTCAGTCTGATAGCAATTTTTCAAAATGCCACTCCTCCTACAGTTTTGGTCTGATTTTATTATAACTTGGCATATAAATAGACTTCACTAAGATACATAATTCTCTATATGGGTTTTTGATTTCAATGAATGTTGTTGCCGTGGTTACTAAAAATAGAAATTTCTTTGATATACATTCACATTGCTACTCATCTTACAGTTTTGGTCTGATTGCAGTAAAACTTGGTTGGCACACAAGTAGACTACACTATAATACATAATTCTTTTTTATAGGTTTCTGATTATGATGAATGATGTTGCCATAGTTACTAAAAATAGAAATTTCTGTGAAATACATTCAAATTGCTACTCATTCTGCAGTTTTGGTTTGATTTCAGTATAACTTGGCACATAAGTAGACTACACTATTACTGGGGTATACATTATTCTTTTTACAGGTTTTTGATTTTGATGAATGGTGTTGCCATGGTTACTAAAAATAGAAATTTCTGTGATATACATTTAAATTAATACTCCTCTTACAGTTTTGGTCTGATTTCAATATAACTTTGCACAAGTAGACTACACTAAGATACACATAATTCTGTTTATCGGTTTTTGATTTCAATGAACAGTGTTGCCATGGCTACTAAAAATAGAAACTTTTGTGAAATACTTTTAAAATGCCACTCCTCCTAAAGTTTTAGTCTGATTTCAATATAACTTGACATGCAAGTAGACTACACTGAGATACATAATTGTCTTTATCGGTTTTTGATTTTTATGAATGATGTTGCCATGTTTACTAAAATTGAAATTTCTGTAAAATTCTTTTAAAAGGCTTCTCTTACAGTTTTAGTCTGATTGCAATAAATCTTGCCACAAAAAGCGACTAAACCAAGCGTCTTTATTCTATTTATTGTTGTTGCAAAGTTTCAAGTCCAAGTGCTACTTTTCTCTTCCTTTGTTATAAGTACAAACCAGTAGAGCTACAGTCTTGTCAGAGACTTCTGGTTATTGCAGCAACCAAACCAGGTGTGTGTCCACACTACACAAGTCTACCAGCTATAGACCTCCGCTGTATGGAGACATGCCAAACAGATGACAGTTGCCAAGGCGACCAGAAATGCTGCTCCAATGGTTGTGGTTACCACTGTATGGGGCCTGTTGGTAAAAACAGTATGTAAAACATTTTGTTATATCTCATTATAATTAGTCTATGCAACACATTATCTGATTGGTTCTAGACAGTCATGTGACAGGGCCATAAAACTTCATATTTCCCTTTCTTTGACATGCTTTTCATCATATTCAACCTCTTTGGAGACCTCGTGCATTTTCCCGCAATACTTATCGTTCATTGAATGAAAATTCCTGAGAGCAGCTAATGCCACTATTAAGATTACATCTCTCAAGCAGTGATGTAATTGTGATCTTCTTTCAAATGAGGATGCTCTAAAAAACAAAGAAATCGAAGACAATTATCTGTGAAGTCTCCAAGGGACATCAGTAAAGTGTTTCAGTAACTTTTTTAATGAAAGTGAATTTGAGAACAGTGCCAGATTTGAACAGTTTGTGTTTAATTTTAAGGACTTGGATTGTTTCAGTATGATAAACAATTTATTGCATGAATGTTCAGGAAATATGAAGATTTATTGATCCAAGAAAAATCATATTCCCCTTGGGCGAAGTCCTTGGGAAATATGATTTTTCTTGGCTGAGTAAATCTTCATGTTTCCCTCACGATCATGCAATAAATTTATATTATCTCATTTTGTTCTTACAAGTGTTACAGGTAAAAAGATGTAATTTTTTTTATTTTGTTTTGAAGGTTTGACAACAAGAAAGAAAAGAGACAGTAAGTAGAGAATTTTTCCTTGTTACCAGGGATAAATACACTGACCATTTTAGAAAAATTATTTCCCTGTTTTATTCTGCAGGAGACACCATTTATATTAATTTGTAGACTTTTCCTGGTAGATGTACTGCTCTTCAGTGACAAAGAGTATTTAAATGTGAATGTTCCTTTTAAAAGACCTTTTTATGCCCCGCCATGAATATGGCCGGGGCATATAGTGTTTGTCATGTCCGTCTTCCGTCCTTCTGTCCTTCCGTCTGTCCTTCCGTCACACTTTGCATTTAGCTCTGTTCAAAGCTCAGTTTCAAAGAAACTATCCAAGATATTTTTATCAAACTTCATATGCTGATAGATATTGATGAGAGCTATGCAACTGCATCGACATTTTTTGACCTTGACCTTTCTTTTGACCTTGACCTCACTTTTCTTAAATTAGTGTTGAGCTCAGTTTTAAAGATACCATTCAAGATAGTGTAATCAAACTTCATATGTTGATACATACTGATGTAAGTTATTCAACTGCATCAACAATTTTTTTCCCTTGACCTTTCCTTTGACCTTGACCTCACTTTTCTTAAATTAGTGTTGAGCTCAGTTTTAATGAAACCATTCAAGGTATTTTTAACAAACTTCATATGCTGATACATACTGATGAGAGCTATTCAACTGCATCAATATTTTTTACCTTGACCTTTCATTTGACCTTGACCTCACTTTTCTTAAATAAGTTTTTAGCTCAGTTTTAAAGATACCATTGAATACAGTGTTATCAAACTTCATATGCTGATACATACTGATGAGACCTATTCAACTGCATCAACATTTTTTGACCTTGACCTTTCCTTTGACCTTGACCTCACTTTTCTTAAATTAGTGTTGAGCTCAGTTTTAATGAAACCATTCAAGATATTTTTAACAAACTTCATATGCTGATACATACTGGTGAGAGCTATTCAACTGCATCAATATTTTTGACCTTGACCTTTCCTTTGACCTTGACCTCACTTTTCTTAAATAAGTTTTTCGCTCAGTTAAGATACCATTCAAGATAGTGTTATCAAACTTCATATGCTGATACATACTGATGAGAGCTATGCAACTGCATCAACATTTTTTGACCTTGACCTTTCTTTTGACCTTTGACCTCACTTTTCTTAAATTAGTGTCAAACTTTATATCCTGATACATACTGATTAGAACTATTCAACTGCATCAATATTTTTGACCTTGACCTTTCCTTTGACCTTGACCTCACTTTTCTTAAATTAGTGTTTAGCTCAGTTTTAAAACCATTCAAAATATTTTTATCAAACTTCATATGCTAATGCATACTGATGTAGCCTTTTCAACTGCATAAACAATGTTTGACCTTGACCTTTCATTTGACCTTGACCTCACTTTTCTTAAATTTAGTGTCAAACTTCATATGCTGATACATACTAATGTAAGCTATTCAACTGCATCAATATTTTTTTCACCTTGACCTTTCCTTTGACCTTGACCTCGCTTTTCTCAATTTGTGTTAAAATGTTGCATTACTAATATACCCTCGGTGGGGCATTCATGTCCTATGGACATATTTCTAGTTTCACTATAAACTGAGACAATTTGTACAACTTCAAAGTGTGGCTGTTTACATAGAACAGGAAGTGTAGTGACTCTCTTGGGTACGATTTTTTAATTTTGAAAATGCATTCATTTTTACAGCACATCCCCACTGCACCTATGATGCACTTTTTGTCCCACGTACAGAGTGTAAGACAAATGCCGATGTCTGCGATGGGGGGTCGATATGTGATCCCGTCACTCAGTGGTGCTGTCCACCTATGGAAGGTAAGCTAAGAGTTTATTGTCTTAGGGTCACTAAGGGATCCTGTCAGTCAATGGTGCTGTCTTTCTTAAAAAAATAAAGCTGTTTTGGACTGAATAAAGGTCTGAAACTGGAGTCAGAGTAACTTTATCCACATTCAGCAAACCATAGTATATCAAAAGTAATTGATGAAAAATGTTTTCCAAACTTGTCTCTTAAACCCTTACCTTTCTTGGGTTAAGTGTAGTCCAGTGTTAAAACAGTCACTGTCTTGTATAAATAGGATTTACCTGGTTAGTTATGATACTGTTAAAGTGACAGTTTGATTTTCTTTCAGTCAACAAATGTCCAGTTGGATATCAGGTGACATCATTCTGTAATAATGGTAAGGCCTGTCCACCAGGCTTGCAGTGTTTAGAGGGTTCCTGTTGTCATGTCCCCACCAATTCAGGCTCAGGTGAGCAGCATTTAGAACAAATATATAAGTAAATGTTGAGACAGTCCATGAGTAAACTTAAAGTGGTTAACATATGAAAGTTAGTACCTTAAAAAGAACATCAATATTAGTGGTGTAACGATATGGCTGAAATGTTCAGCATCCTTGCCATGATATACTGTAGTACACTAAGACTGATGCTGCAGTATTTCATGTATTTCACATTTCACATTTTATATATTTTTTGAATACAAATTGTGTCTCTGTGTTCTGACATGGGAAATTATCTAAGTATCACAATGTGGAAGGATAAAAAAATTTATTTAATTTCTTCAAGTATCAACATTTTATAAACTAGAAACTAATTAAAAGAGCTATAAAATGTAAGCTAAGCTATGGCAAAGAAAGAAAGAACAATTGACATTATTTTTCCTTCTGTAGATGTAGATAAATAAAGAACGTTGAGTCTTTTAAAAACATGTTTTTAATAGTGTTTATAATCACATAATAGTGTGTACATGAATTATGGTTAAGACAGGTGCTAAAATAATCCAAACTAAGTACATTTGCAGCATGTTTAAGGAAGAGACTTGTAGTCTGTTTTCCATTGTTTTTTTTAAGTTTAAGTTAGTACTTGTATTTCAGGAATTGTAGATTACACCTGTAAAGCTGATGGTTATCTCACCACAACCAAATGTACAGAGGGAAAGTGTGCCAGTGGACTTTTCCATTGTGAAAATGGCTACTGCTGTCCCACAAGGTTAAATAAAGGTGGTATGTATATATAGTTCATATACTTACCTACAATAATAGGCCAGGACTTTTTTATTGTAAAGATTATAATTATTTTACTCTTCAAACAAAATTAATTTGAAAGGAAACCCTGGGTTCAGTATGTGGAGAACCTGGTTGTATGTAATGTCACCAACCAAAACTTAGAAAGATCTTAATTTAACAACACTTCTTTTAAATATCCAAGAGATAATATTTAAAATATTAGTTAATGCAAGTTTATTGTTGATAGATAAAGGGGAGATAATTCTATACAATTTCAGATTCCTCAGAATATCAGTGTAAAGTTGATGGCTACAAATCCACGACTCAATGTGATGGTGAGATGGCATGTGCTAGTGATACTTTCCATTGTGAAAATGGTTACTGTTGTCCCACAAGACTGAATGAGGGTAATTATCAGTGAAAAACAAACTTCTGTTTTTTAAGGGAATGTGGATTTTTTTTTTATGGACTTTTACTGTTATGCACATTGTTTTTATGCATGATTTACTTTTTTTTCAAATTTATTTCATTGGATGTTTATTCTTCCATTTCTTTGTTTTTGCATGTTTTTATTATTGATATGTGTTGATAAATAGCAAAAAAAAAAGAAAAAAGAAAAATAGCAGTGACATGTCAAAGCAAGCAAGAACTTGCTTTAAGGTCAAGTCAACCAAATACATTTCTTAGAAGTTAAATGTGCTTTGAATGTTATATTACAGGAACAATTTGTGTATATCGTCGTTATATAGCAACATCAGTGACCTATATAGGGTCCGTTGCCTCTGGAACTATGCCTTCAGTCGAGGCATGTAAAGCAGCATGTGACCGTAATACAATTAGTGATTGTATTGGGGTAGTATATCAACAAAGTACTGGAAAATGTACAAAGTACCCTGACACTAGTCATTTAACCAAAGTGGCCGATTCTGAGTCAGAGTTTTTTGAGAGGCATTGCCAATTTTCTGCAGGTATATCAATGTAGATGTCTGTTGTTAGGTAAAGAAGCCTCTGCCTCAGTCTACACTGTTCTGCTTTCCTCTCTGGTGGTGAAATGTGCTGATTCTTTAACTTTGTTTATTAAGTCTTTGTCTGGTGACAGTTCAATTTCAGATACTAACTTTTCTTTGAACATTTACAAGGGTTTCTATCTTTTCAGAGAACAAACGGTATTTATATTGTGTTTAGCATTACATATTGTGGACTTTTGCTAAAGACTCTTTTAAGCAATGTTGTCAGTGCTCCTCAATACTTTCATGCTTCATATCTTTGGTGTGCATGTAGCCATGTTGTAAATTGTTTCTTTACATATACATTTTGTATTTTGCTGCATGAGGTGCTACAATGTAGTTCTATGTCATTGGCTTTAAGGATAAATAACACAAACAAACCTTTTTCACAAATCGGCAATATTTCTCATAGATATATGTTCAAATAGGTAACCTGAAAAATGTTTGCCAGGTAAAATGGAAAAATTTTGTAAGACTGTATCACAATATGATATGAAAACCTACGATTTCTTTATATTTTAGGAAATTATTATTCATATTCCTTAATTAGTGTACTAAAATGCATCTATTCTTTATATACAAGTATTAACTTTGAAATGAAACAAATATAACCAGGTGTTTTCTTTTCCTTTTTTTGACCAGGACTGTGCCCTGACCAGAACAACGTCCTTATGTCTGATGGTGTACCTAAGACGTGTAATATGGACACTGATTGTGATGTCATCAGTTTCGGCTGTATTAACGGACACTGCTGTCCAAAGGCAGGAATCACTACAGTCGCTCCAGGTGAAATATACCTGTCACTGAAAATTATTGTTCTGCAAAAAATCGCAAGAAGATTGAAGGGTGTAATAGTATCAAGATATTAATGTCATTTGTCTTTTTTTTTTGTCTTCTTTGGCGATGAGTTTATAATTTATACAAATTTACAATAATTGTTTCATCCATTGAAGTGAAAACCTGTCCTAATGGGGCTAATCCTGCCAAGAATGTGAATGGTTTAACAAAGACATGTAAGGTGGCAAGTGATTGTGGGGAACCAGCGACTTGTGAGAACCAGATTTGTTGCCCAACACCAATACAGGAAGGTCAGAATCCTTATAAGTTAAACTTAAGCTGATTCATTATTATTTAATACTTGGAACTGCTTATTCATACTTTAAAGTATTTACTAGAAACATTTTGGGAAAAGAAGAATTCAAATGTTGACTGAAGAAGTCATTTTTGATTGGTTTTCGATAAAGGGTAAAACATGTATATTTATATTCTTTCAGACTATTGTCCCAACAAGAGCTTGCCTCTGATGGAAATTGGAAAGCCTAAAGCTTGTATGGGGGTTTTACTGGCAGAGTGTGGCAGTTCCAGGGACTATACATGTAAAGGTTTAGGGGATTCCAAGTACTGCTGCCCTACAAGGAATAATAACATGGGTAGGTCTGAAATTGATTTTTAAAATTTTTTTTTCTTTGAGGACAAAGTCTGTCATTTAACTAATGGGATGCTTCTGCTGTTGTATTTTTCTAAAAGCCATATTTTAGAGGGAAAGGGGGGGGGGGGGGTCATGGACACATATATACATGTATATACATACTGATGTTTTATTTAGCTCTCTTGATTCTTTCAGAACTTTGTCCTAACAAAGGCATGCCCCTGTTGACCTCTGCTGGTAATGCTCAGAGGTGCTCGTCCACCATGGACTGTGGAGATAGTACTTACAGTTGTCAGAGTTCTAACATTGACGGATACAAGTACTGCTGTCCTACAAAACTCCTCATCACAGGTAGTCAACACTACTGTATTAATGTTAACTTTATTTGAAGCTATTGTATGAAATACTGCATAGTGGTGCTAACTTTGGCTTATTTTTATAATAATTTAGCAGTTTGGTAGTAGCCTGCCAAAATTTTAATTGCTAGATTTGCACCCTTGCATACAATTTACTAAAAGCAAAGAAATTAACTTTGTTCAGTTTGTTGTTAAACATTAAATCTTTCATCTGGTATTGGTTTTACTCAAACTTTTTCATAAATCAATATCTAAATGTACTTATAATTCACCTGGAAGAGGAGCTACTTTTCCTTTGCAATGTCATGAATGTCCATGTCTGCCAAAAAAAGAAGTTCCACCAAAATTATTGGTATACCTTTGAACAAGCATAATGCCAAATTTTACAACTGCTTAAGAAACCTGCTTTACAGTATTCACACTAGTCCTAAAAATGTAAAATCACCATGCCATTGTTGTCTCATAAGTATATGACCAAGCTAAATATATTCCTGTGGATCTATTTGACTAGAAGATATCTGGAATATGTTGCTCCTTATGATCTTACAATTTGTCTTGATCCTTCATGATCTTGAATCAAGGTCATATGCACTGTGTTGGTAGTTGATTTCCTCAATACTATTTGAAATTCTATACTGTAAATTTTTGCAAATATCCAACTTCAGTATTGTGTTGGTTAATTCTTCCATTTTTATGCTTTTGTCTTGAAATGCAAATACTCATGCAAAACAAAACAAAAAAAACATGCTAATTTTCAAAACAAGCATAATATCAGTTCATGATTATAATGTACTGATTTGAAGGTGCTTCAAAAATAAGGCAGTGTAATTCCATGTTTCATTTATTTTCTATTTTCTTTGCAGAAATGTGTCCTAACAGGGGTTATGTCATGGTTCATGAAGGTCATCCTAAAAGATGTAGCATGGACTTTGAATGTATCGGCTCCAGTGGAAAGTTCTCCTGTGTCAATAACTACTGTTGTCCAAAGGATGTCAATCAAGGTTGTTCAGTTGAATGAAAAAAAATCATATGTTCTAAGTAGTCTGTGAGATCAAATAGAGAGACACATTCATGTCTACAGCTTAGAAAATCATAATGTCAATTTCCTTTGTTGCAGCTGTGTGTCCCAATAATGGAGGACTGCTATTAGATGAAAAACAGCAACCTAAACTTTGCACTGACAACATAGAATGTCAGGGATCAGGAAGGGGGGCTTATTACTGCAATGAGGGATACTGCTGCTCAGAATCAGGTACACTTGACATTAACATTTATTCTTAAACAAAAAGTGTAAAATAATTTTGAAGCATTGCAGTCATCAGCTTCTTTACACAATTAAATATTAAAGTTTGTGTACATATTTGACTTTGCAGGTTCCCTGTCTGTGTGCCCCAATAATGGAATGGTGAAAATGTCTGACAACAAACCAATGACCTGTGTCAATGATGCAGATTGTGGGGAGGTAACCTGGTCGTGTCAGGGAGGGCACTGTTGTCCTCGTCCTGTCAATACAGGTAAGAATGGCCACATACATTCTTACAGGAAATACTAGATATACTTGGTTACCAGTAAATGTAAAAGTGAATACCTTTCAAAAAGTTTTGATAAGCCAGTTATATATCAGATGGCAAGTTTTATTACAACAGATGACCCTGCACTCTGACTGATTGGACTAGAATAAAGTCACCAACTAAAACTATGTGACTTTAATTTGGTCAGTAAAATCATACAGCTATTGGAGAGGAACAAAATTTACAGAGAGGAATGGATGAGTTGATGATCCAAGGAAAAGAAGTTTAATTTATAAGAAATTCTTTTCTTCCAGTATGCCCTAACGGAGCTGCTCCTAAGTGCTGTAAATTGGACCTGTGTATTCATCACTCCTGTCCTGCTAATCCTTCTGCTAAGTGTCGCATCAATCCCTGTGGTGGCTGTAAGGCCGAGTTTTATGATGACAAAAACACGCTAGTGAATTGTTTCTCAGGTAACCCTTCAATGAAGATTTCAGATTTTCCCTTTTTTTGAGAGAGAGAGAGAGAGAGTAAACAAAAAAAAAATATGTTCCTGGCTTTTCTATACAATTTAATGAGCCTTTCTTACATTATGTCCCTACATAGGTTTAAGTAGATGTGAGAAGATGAGATTGAAGGCCCTTTCGTTGAGTACATTTTGGATGGACACAGATGTAGGATTCACCAGGCAGTACCTGGGACAAGTGAAGAAGAATGAACCCCAGGGTGTCCTTCCTACTGCAGAAAGTAAGCTGTCAATGTTGTTTTGTTATCTTGAAATTTTACAAGAAAATTTTAGTTATATTACGTTTGGCTTATATAATTTAATGTCTTGTTTTTAAAAGCAGTTGGGAGTAATAGATAACATATCAATTATTACTTATGGCAGGAATAATGTAACCTGTAATTTTTTTTTTTGTGTAGGAGTGATATCCTCCGGTAAGGCTGGGGAGTGTCTAGGACTGCATCCTACAGCTGTCAAGGCTCAGACTCAGGACTGTACCTCAGATAACGATTGTCAGGGAACCAGTAAATGTTGTCTGAACAAATGCCAGGTTCCTATTAGTGGTGAGATACTGGTTATTTAATATGAATCTTAAATATGTACACCCCAAAAAGTACACATACTTTAGTTGTTGATTTGTTTAAGCTTCATTACTAAGCTTTTTTAAATTGCTAAAAGTGAAATACCTGAACCAAACATAAGGTTGAATTGAAAACTGTTTCCTATTTATGGTTACACAGAGTATACATGTAGTTATGAAGGGAAATGATAAGTTGTTTTAATTGTTTATCCTGATCCATTCCCAGTATTGCCCCACCAGACTGCCTGTGCCCACCGCCCTGTAACTGGACCGTGTAGGGGTCGTATGGTCAGATACTTCTACAACTCCACCAGTAACACATGTGAACAGTTTGTGTATGGAGGATGTAAAGGCAATGAAAATAACTTTGGATCTCAGAAAGCTTGTGAGAGGGCTTGCTCAAAAGGTAAGAGTGAAGAAAATTATGTATGTTCAATGTGTTGAAAGTTCATTATGTGTACTGTATTTTTTTTTCGGGGGGGGGGGGGGGGGGGGGGGGGGGTTGTCATATTATGCACAGGAGCAAATATTTATCATAAGTGTTCATTTGATGATTTGACCAACCATTTTTTTTTGTCCTTGGATTAATTGTTCATACTTGTATGGCGTCACTTTCAAAATTTTGAACCATTTATATTAACCGTATTAAAATTCTTCATTAATATAAACTGTGAAGTGTAGGCATCTTGTCTTGCTAGAACACTGTATATGTGAGTTGGTCTTGTTTGTAGCTGGACTTCCTCCTCAGTGCCTGCCTACTCCAGATCCAGGCAGATGTCGAGCCAGAATCCACATGTACTTCTACAACATTACCAGCAACAAGTGTGAGAAGTTTGTCTATGGAGGGTGTGAAGGAAACAGAAATCGCTTCCTAACCCTTACACAGTGCCTCAGTACCTGTAGTAAGTACTAGTATTGTCGACCTTGTCAATAGGACTTTAAGTACTGTAGTAATCCGGCTTTATTATATACAGAATAAGAGATTTATGAGCACTTAGTACATTAATTGTTTCTATGATCTAAATTTGGTCAGGAAGTAGTCTTATCAATGATAATGTAATTCTAATGCTTTTCTGTAATGACAAATATGATTTATCATGCAGGCTCTAAAGATGTGCAGGCTGCACCATGCGAGGTAGGATATCATTCTCATTTCATACAATAGGCTCAAGTGAACTTTTCTGAGTTTTTCCAGTATGTATGCATGTATGAATGTATACTCATAAACTTTCCTTTTTCTTCTGAACCACTTGGCCAATTTTAACTAAACTTGCAACAAAATATCACTGGGTTAAGGGAATTGAAGTTTGTTCCTGTAAAAAGTCATTTAATTCTTTTTCATTAAGAACCACTGGACAGAAAAAAAATCAATTGAAAATTTATTTTTTGTACTTTTATTCAATTTTTCAAATCATGGCCACTGGGACAAGGGTGGGACCAAAGTGGGGATGTTTTTATGGCTTTGACAGAAGTTAAAAGCCACCATATTAGGGATCAAAAATTGTTTTTACACGACCAAAGGTGTCAGTCAATGCATCTGAAAAAGAAATTAAAACATTGATTTCTTTGAAAATGGTTACAATGAACATGACTTTGAAAGTAAAATTGCATCAAGTATATCTACAATTAATTCTGTTACAAAATACAGATGCTGTGTTGATACTAACAAAAGAAAAAAAATCAGGGCCTTGTTGATAGTTGCTGCAGATTAATTTCTAAATAGCGATGCATTGAATTTCAATTGAATCATTGGTTTTTGGCAGGAAACTGAGTAAAAAGTAAATATAAACAACAAATTGGTAAAATAGTCACTCAACTACTTTAATTAGCAAACTAGAAGTCACTCAACTACTTTAATTAGCAAACAAGAAGGTTAGGAACATTGACTTTTAAAGTTCAATCTTTAGTCTTATAATCATACAACCAATAAATTTTATTGTAAACGTAGAAGAGTCAAGCTTCATTGGTGGATTTCATAGTATACCATGCCCAATCATAACTCATAGTGAAGATGCAAAACTGTAATGTTGTGTTACATGTAGCTAAAAATATTTTAAAAAGTGGTGCTTAGACATTGACAAGTAGAATAGTAATAAAATAAATCCTTCCTAACTTCTTAACCGACTGAAAAGAGATTGAAAAATTATTCAGCAACTGGACAGGTTTCCATGTTTGTTTACTTTCAACAATGTCTGGTTAATTGGGACTATGGAATAAAGCCCTACACCTATAATTGTAATACTTTGTTTAATTTTATTCAAAAGAACTTTTAATATTGTTTTTCTTGTTTCATTGCATCTTTGCAAGCCAAGGATTTTAGGTCTGCTTCACTCTCCACAAACGTTTGTGGAGAGCGAAGCGGACCGAAAACCCTTAGCTTGCTTATAAGATGGTTTGGACACCATTGAAGCCTTTCAGGCTTTTGATTTTATGCTAGGGAAACATACAAAAAACTTTTCTCAAGAAAGACAGGAGGTTGATTTGTCAAATAAATATGCAAGAATCTGAAAGTATAGAATCACGGTTTCCCAGACACAGTTCTGTTTCAGAAATGATGCCGTTTTTTTTTTTTAATTCGCCTTGTTTTAAGTTTGCTCAATTTTGATAAGGGTGAAAGGGGAAAAAATAAAACGGGGGCAAATATTTGCCTGTTTACAGTAGTTCAGACTTAGTTCTGATTATGGTGACAATGAAGAATGAACTTGTGTTACAAATGGTTGAAAATTAATTTAATCAATGTCACTGATTTTTCAGGCATTTTTAATGGTTTTTCTTAATTTTTTTCTTGTCTATTGAAATAAAAATGTATAGTTTTCTGATCAAGCATAAAAAGAATATTACTAAAATCTTTTTTAGTCTACCTGTGTATATGAATAGAGCTTATTTGGAAAAAATATGCCAAGAAAATGTGTATTTGGATATGATTAGCTGGTGGGAATGTCTTGCGTTAACTAATTGGCAATTCTGTATTTCGATTGCCATCCCTAAAAACATGCATGTATTCACTTTATAATGTGACTTAATTGGGTGAGCATTTTGGTCCATTTCCCACTTGTGTTTTGAATTCTTTTAAACAGCTGTAGTACTTTTCAGTTTTATTCTCTCTGGTTAAATTAATAGGTTGAAAAGAGAGTAGAAACTTTGACCATCCTATACGAGCGATTTTTCTGTATCAGGATGATGAAAATCAAATTAAACAGTGTTTCCATACTGTCAACATTTCTGCATTTATCTAGTCCATTTCCATACATTTCTAGTATTGAGACATGTTTACCATATTCTTTATTTTCATTTTTAGAAAATCCGATGTGCAGCAGGCACCATCTGTTTACCTGTCAGTGGTACTGAAGCAAAATGTATCTGTAAGTTTACATTTTTATGTCAATTACCTTTTTGTATTGTGTTAATTTCATGAAGTTATTATACAAGTATAAGGTAGTGCTGAGTGTTATGATCTTTTTCTTTGAGTGAGCAGTTTCATCATTTATGTTTCCACTGTTGACATTTCCACAGCTGATAAAGTACCACCTGTTGTGAATGGTAACTTTGTGCCAGATTGTTTGGACAACGGACGGTTTGCGCCGATGCAGTGTCAGGGATCTCTATGTTGGTGCGTCAATGATATCGGGGTCATGCAGCCTAACACCATGAGAGTAGGCAAACCACCCTGCTATAAATCAGGTAGACATTTTGAAGAATATTCAGATCCTTATGAAAATATTTTGGTTTATGTTTATTTTAAAGTTATCATTTTCTTTTTTCTTCAGTGACAGGTGTGACAGGTACCAGTGATGTCTCCAGAGTTCCAGGTATGTGGATTAATAACACAGGGCTATAGCTACTGTAGATATATAAACATCGCAAAACATGATTACTCAGAATTATCATGCAGAAGAAGCTACGAACTTAAATAACACAGAGCTATAGCTACTGTGGATAAATAAACATCGCAGAACATGATTACTTAGAATTATAATGCAATAGAATTATGAGCTTTAAAAAATGACATAATAATGTTGAGTGCCCTCAGTAATCACATTCTGTAATATTTCAGTATGTGCTGATGGCAGTACTCCTGTGTTGTGTGATAAAAATGAATGTGAAACAGCTAAGTGTGAGGGGAAGAGTGACGTCACCTGTGTGGTAGATCCCTGTAATAAGTGCAAGGTCTCCTTTGTTGACACCAATAACAAACCAGTCACATGCAATGGTAACCAGATCTAACTTCATGTATTACATGTACCTCATACATGATCAATATGCCTTTTTTTGTAATGAATATGTCAAAATTTTAAACTTTAATAAAGATTCCTAATCTTTATAAAAACTTGCTGTTTTACCATAGTGTTGAAAAATATTTTATCTTGCAATCCACTCTTCTGATGATTTTAAAACTTTTTTTCGTAGTTGATAAATGTGCACTTAAGATACCCATTTCCACATCTCGCAATAAACGAGGGTGTGGGAATCTAGAACAGCGCTGGGTGTTTGATCATAAGACCAAGAAGTGTGAACATTTTCTGTATTCACCGTGTGACGGGGAAGATAATTACTACAAAAGTCAGTGGGAGTGTAGATCTAAGTGTATAGGTAGGTGAAAGTGATTCCAATGATTTACCAAGAATGTAGATCTTGATGTTTTTATCTGTATGTAAATTAAAGTTTTTTGCAGTAGAAAAATAGTATTGGAATTTATTTTGGAATATCATAGCCATCTAATGAGTAAAGATTCACGTTTACATATTAAGGCACCATCTGTAATGGAAGCGGACCTAAAAGTTGCATCACCAGCTGTTCAGACCAGGTGTGTCGTCGATTTCCTGCTGCTCAGTGTCAGATCCACCCATGCACCTGCGAAGTCATGTTCTTTGACCTGGTCTCCAATGTTCCAGTGAACTGCAATTCTGGTATTTTCACTTACTTTTGAAAATTCATATTTCAGGAAAATAGCAAGTGGAAAAGCCTAGATTTTAATGCATGCATACTGTAGATAACATCTTTGCAAGATAACATTTGGTATTTATAAGCAAGACACGAATGCTGATTATTGCCGTATATGTCCTATACCAATAAAAATATATGCGAGAATGCTTAATTATGTGAAAATAAACTTTTCACAAATTAAAAGTGATGTACACTACCTCATGAAGTTAAATCTCACACTTCTAAGAATTAACCAGTATTTCAATGATCTTGATCAATTTTGATAGTAACCCCACTTTGCCAGATGAGAAGATCACAAGAAAAGCGCAAAGCTTTGATGAAGGAGATGTATAACTATAAAGTATCGGAGTCCGTACCCATATCTGTGTGTGATGTCAGGGGAGAGTTTTCTCCACAGCAATGTGACACGGTCACCAACAGGTGCTGGTGTGTGGATGGCCTCGGAAACAAATTAACCGGATCAGAGAGAAAAGTCTCCAGTCCAGCTCAAGACATTGGATGCAGTAAGTACAGTTGAACTTCGGTATCTTGAACCCCGATAGCTCAAACACGATGGATATGTCGAAGTGAATTGGAAGCCCCAACCTCTTATTCTTTAAGTATTTTACCCTGATATCTCGAAACCTTGGATATCTCGAAGTTTTTTCTCAGTCCCATTGAGTTCGAGATAATTAGGTTTGACTGTGTTAAAATTAGAATCCTTTTAGTGACAGAAAAGTTCTATAAAAATTCTGTTCCAGTGCTTTATGGTTATTGTATATGTTTTTATTTTATTAAAGATCAAAATAAGACTGTGTCTGCTGTGGTATCATTATTATTCAAGTTGGATTATGATGTGTATGTCAAAGGGAAAGAAGAAAAGCTTAAAGGGTAAGAGGTTAAGTCTGTTCTTCGAGCATTGCTTTAAAAAAACTTGATGTTTTAAGGTGTTAAGGTATATGCTTATCCCGAACTACATGAATTTACAAACATAGAAACATTCTTGCACCAGTTGATTATGGTGGGCAAGCATTATCTTTCGTGTTTTGCATTTTGAGGTCAATTGTCTATGGCATCATAGGTCATCCAGAAATTATTGAAATGCCTGAAAACTATTGTCTAAGCAGCAATCATAGACACCTGTACACCTGTATAAGTGTATGTCACTACTTCTTTATAATTCCAAATTGACTTTTTATTTAGGGTTGTAATGAACAAGCTAAAGGAAATATCATCCAAAATGATCCAACATATCAAGACAATTAAAGTAAGTGAAAGGGAAGATTAATCTGACATTTGATAGTGTGTTTGATGTGGGAGCAGAAAAGTTTTGTGGACATTAGAAGAGTTAGATAGGTTTAACATATATCTGTAGTCAATGAATCCTAATTTTTGTAGATAAGAAAGGGCAGTGTATATGTTGATATTGAGTTTGGACAAACTACTGATAACTCAGAACCAGAAGACATAGGCAGTCTGGTGAATGTATTGGAAAATGAGGTAAATCAAAGTTAACCAAGTATTTATTGAAGAAAAATGATTGGTCCAGAGAAATGGTCATATCATCAAGTCAGTTGTAAGGAGTAATAAGCAAAATATTAATTTAATTAAATGATGAATAAGTTTAATTTTTTAATTATAAAATGTTATTTATTTATTTCTGTGCAGAAGGTTTACTATTTGAGTGTACATTAATAATTTCTACATTAGGTAAACAATGGACTGGACATGAGATTTGAAGGCCAGACCATTACAGCAGAACCCGAGACTAAAACCACATTTACCTTCCAAGCTCAAACTCAAGGAGATATTTCCAAATCCCCTACAGGAGAAAAAGATGATAGTGCAACAACAACCATAGTTGTTGTCGTTGTCATTTGTGTTGTTGTATTGATAGCCATTGTGGCATTCATTGTTGTAAGTTTGTTGTTAAAATTACCTTTTACTTTCTAGGTAAATATGGGATACTAAAACATATGAATTTCTGTCAATAAGATTTTTTTTTCATTTACTTTTCTTAGTATCGAAAGAGGAAAGGCCAACAGGAGAAGAATTTTACAACCCTGAATACTAGTGTAAGTATATTGCAATCTCAGGCTAGTCAAGAAAACTTAATAAAGAGTCAGTTGTTTCATCAAAATTTTCAAAGTTTAGAAACTCATTAAATTGTTGAATCAAACTTTTACAGGATCCTGAGAGTCCTCCAATGAAACAGAACTCCGTATACTACCATAACCAGGCCTGCGATAAAAAGTGATATCATCTGAAGACACAAATCATAAAGTCAGGGGACACAACTCTCAAGAAATCCACGAAACCCTTAGAAATCCTTTTTTATGTTGCACCAGCAAAGAAACTATAACATTGTATTTTGCTCACCAATCATGTGCTAACATTTTATCTTTACTTTTCATGTTACATTGTAAATAGTCATGCTTTTTTAATAGATATTACCAACATTTTTGTTTTGATAGAAACAGCTGTTTACTAGGGAATGTTAACTTTCTTTTGTTTTCCTTTTGCCCATTTACTCTTATTTAAAATTGGATTTATCTAATTAATTTCACATAAGTGCTTTGGTTAAATTTAAACTATGTCTAAACATTACTTATCTATTTGGGCAAAAAAAAAAGTGAAAATATGAGGGTGCACATTGTATGTTGTCAGATAAGGAAAGCCTTATTAATCTGGGGGGTTTTTTAACTACCAAATACTAAGAATTAGGTATAGTCTGAGTCTACTCGAGAGTAAAGTTATTTTTTTGTAATAATTTACTGAATTGTGAACATTGATGAAGAATTTTATTCTTACTGGCACATTCCTTTTCATTGATGCAAAATGTTCTGATTTAGCTTTACTTACCTGTACTTGTGCTCTATAATTAGCTTATTTTCTGTCCTGTCCACTTCTATTCATTAATTGTCAGAATTTGATCTGTAGACTCTATCACGAATAGATACCTCACTTTATGGTGCTATATTTTTTAAATTTCGTTACATGGTTGCTGGTTCATCTATGTACAGAATCTCAACTTCTCATCACACGGGAAGAATAAGGAAAAGTTTTTATATTTTTAAATAAAATTTATGTTTAATTCAATTGCAAAATCTTGTATATATTATATCAAATTAAAAACTAAAAGCAATATACATTTGTTAATTGATTTATGGTACTCAATGCATGGGTTCAAAATACAACAAAAATGAAACCTAATTAAATAAATAGTTAATACTAGTGTATATATCCAGACTTGCTTGTGATTTGTAATACACTATATTTCTTGCTTAGTATGACACATTATTAACCAGGATATAAATGCAGCACTATACATATAGATAATCTGGATATATTTTAATACCATTCATCAGAATAACACATAAAGACATCCTCCTGAAATTTTACTTCAAAGTAGCGGTGTTAACCTGAACAGAAAAAAATCTGTTTGTCAAGGACACATATTTTAGAAGTCTCATAAATAACATGATTTGAAACAGAAAAAAAAGTTCTAAAGTCTCTTTAAAATGCGTAGTAATATCTATTTTAATTTATAAGCCTTGATTCCTGTAAGACTTTTTTTTCAAGTCAAAAAGAAAATCAAAAGTCAACCAAAATGTAGTGGGAACAGGTACATGTACTTGCTCGTGTTTAGTTCCACTGCCTTTTATATGACAAACTCTGTATTAAGGCATTAAGATAACCATATAACCATCAGCCACCGTATCTATATCTCGACCTCCTTCCTGAATTGCCACAGTCACCTGTAATATAACCGTAAAATGTTCATGCTTGTTTAAATAAAATACTTTACTACAGCAAATAGTTTGGGAAATGCAGCATTGATTGCGTCGGTTGAAATAACTGGTTAAATTCCAAATGGATTTGTCAGAGTTTTGACAAGTAATTATTTTCTCGGGACTAATTAAGATACTTTTTCTTGACATTCTCAATGTCAGAAACAAGAGGACCAAATTAACTGGAGAGCTACACTTAACATCATTGGGTTATATTAATAAGCTAGTCATGCATGTGCATGTACGATAATTCCTTTCTCTTTGAATAAAAAAAATAGTGGTAGATGGTACTTATGGTGATAGGGACCCAAATTGTATTAAAAAGAAAATGTACTCACACGACCCAATTCTCTCCTCTAACTGAGAAATCTGATCACTGAGAGAGGAAATAATGTCGAAGTCATACAGGTCATCTGTTGTAGTGCGCGGTGGTACGGTGGTCGATGACGAAGCAGATTTTAATTCCTCTACTTGGGTGATGGCATCATTATAATATCCCTCCAGAACAGAAAAATTACCACGCATCTCATCCTAGAAAAAAAATCTTAGAGATTAAAAATGCAACGTTTTTACGAAATATTTGGGGGGGGGGGGGGGGGGGCAGTGTAATGGCATTATGTAAATAATTCTAACATATTGGATTGATTGGAAAATGCTTACTTTCTCTTTTTCTACTTTGTTAAGCTGTCCTTGTAAATCAGTGATTTTATTCATCATTTCCTCTATAGGTGGTAAGCACAAAGGACAAACTGAAAAAGACGCATGATTTTATAAGCAGGGGTAATGTAACAACCACATGAATTACTATCAGATTGGATAAGTAGTAAAACTCACATTCACACTTGTATTTATTTAGTGATTTAAACCCATGGAAGCAGCCACATTCGTATCCCCCAATGGTATTTTTACAGATCTGTTGGCAGCTACTTCTTCCAGTTAAACATTCGTCTACATCTGCAGTAGACAAATAAGAGAAAAAAATCATGCTTACTTATTCTGCATGGATGCAAAATAAAGGAACATTTGGTTTATACATTGGCCGTCGTGATGCCGTACCTTTTTCACATCGATGACCTGTGTAATATGGGGGACATTCACATTCGTTTGGGCCCACACAGATTCCGCCGTTTTTACATCCATATCTGCATATTGCTGAAAATAAAGCAATGATTATTCACGAAGACATTTACTTCGATGGAAAGACCTAGTCCAAGTCCGTTATATTTTGTAACATTAAAATAATTTAATTATAAAAAGTCTATTTTTTAGATTTCTTCTTACGTGCCAAACAAGCCAGGTCTCGCGGGTTTTTCTTCGTCCACCCTGGACAACACCGTTTATGTTCACCTTGCACCACTCTTTTATAAAACACCGTGCGATAGGCTATCCTCATGTACACCCTAAATCAAGATACAGATAAAAGACAAAGTGGGTAAGGAAAATGAGAACATTGGATCGAGTCTTATATTTTTCTCAGAACTGTTCATGCTTTGACAATTGCTGGGCACCTTGTGGAGTTGACACAGGTATCATTATTCGAGCACAGTCGAGGATTGTGAAATGGCCTTCTGTAAGTCTGTCGCGTGGGTACCATTTCTATTCTACCAGTTTTATACGTGCAGACATGTCTTCTGTTAGAAAGAAAATTGATAATTTAAAAAAAAGTCTTTGGTAAGAAAACTTTATCAGATTGGCATTAATTTCCCGAAATAAAGATCATTAGAATTATAACAAAATGCATCATCGGGGGGGGGGGGGGGTCCTGTTTGTCCCCTTCCATGCAGGTTTTAAAAGTTTTCATGGAATTCATTTTGTTTATCTGAATACATTTGTATATATATTTTATTTGTATCCAGTTTGTGGAAAAAAGTAGCATGGGTCCTCAGCACGACTTGAGAGATGGGTATTTTTAACAAAAGAGTTCACATGTCGATTGTGGTTTCCTTAGTGGTCTATAAATGCATTTTTCCCATCTGATAAGCCGCCGAGACTGATTAGAATACAATATTTCCTTCAAAATTTAGTTGTACCCCGGTAAGTCTTTTTTTCTTGGTGTCAAATATAGACACGTGGCTTTTGTGACCTCTAGACAGCTCTGTGACGAAACAGAGAAAGGTACTTGAACTAATTAAAACAAAAATAAGTGGCTGCTTGGTGACATACTCCAATTATGGGGCATATCTCTCCTTTATCGGCCTGTTATATTAACTATTGTACACCTTCTAACCACAAGGTTAAGTGCAAAACTCCAAACATTCCATTAAAACACTGTCCGACTTTTTTCTCCTTGCATTATTTTTATATGTCCTAAATCTAAGTACACGAGTCTTGTTTTGCTGACGCTAATATAATTAATTGTTTTGATGCCATTTGCCTAAAAATGTATATCTTCTGAATGTTTCAATAGTTCTGGAATATTCGAGTGAGCAGAGTTTTATTTGAACACTTGACTGTTTTAAATTAGTTTTTTTTAGTCCGGAAGGGATAGACCTATAGCTCGGTCAGTTATACTGCACTGATGTCACGTTTTCCTTGTCCCCCTGTGTCTAGTCACGTCGTTCTTAATCAGTAAAAGCGAGTACATGGACACTCACGGCAAAGATTTAATTTGTCTTCGAATGTTTTTCCTAGTTATTGCTATTTCATATATAAGAAATAGATGTATTTGATTTTCTATCCATTAATTTAAAAGACTCTCTATAAATGCACTAAAAGAAAAATATTTTTGGCACATAGAGAAAGTATATCGTAAAAAGCTGGGAAAAATGATTTTATCTTGTTAATAATCAACATAGATTACCCACCATTTACCCCTAGCTGAAAAATGTTCAAATACAACGGAGTACTGGTGATTGCGGAAAACACGTGTAAATAAAAATGAGTGCATTTGGATAAATAAGGTGTTAAGAATGCTTTAATTGAAAAAAAAAAAAAAGGAGTAATGCATCGTATTGATATAGAGATACGAGGGTAGATAACTCTAACTCATCAAAATACGTATGCACTTTAGGTGTGAAATATACGCGTATAGATGGGGATCCTTAAAAACAAAAACAGGCAGTTCCTATAGTAAGCTTTTAAGTGTTCCACTGGAAGATTTATACAAAAAAAAAACTCTACCCCCCCCCCCCCTTCACCTAATATAAGATAGGTTTCGTTAAATTCTGACACCCCAATTGCGATGCAGGCGTGAAGTCTTCTATAACTCCTAAATCTTTGTATAAAAATATAACCTTTATAACTTATCATTTCTTTCTTAAATTCATTACTCATATATAGTACAGGGTGTGAATTTTATCTGGTAATAATAGTAGTTCCTATCAATTCAGTGTCACCAGTTATTTTGTAGAAACAAAAGGAAAATAATCTCCTTTCGACCCGAAGTCATCCCCCAGGATGAAAATCGAAATTAATCCAAAACCTTATTGCATTTCTACAAGATCTCCCGATTTTAAAATATGAATTGGCTACTGCGAAAAATGAAAGAGGAGTTCAGGGAACAAGGTTTTTGTAGAACGCTTTTGTAGACGTTTTTTGACCCCCAATCCCCCGGTGAAAACCTTGTCGCACATCTATAGGACACCACTATCATATTAAAAAAGGTGAGTTGGTTACTGCAAAAAAAGTAATAGAAGTTCAGAGAACCAGGTTTTTGTAGAAAAATATCATTTTTTGACCCACAGTCGCCCCTAAGGTTGAAAATAGAAATTCTAAAACCTTATTGCACATCAACAGGACACTCCCAAATGTATTCCAAAATATTATTGGACTACTGCAAGAAATATAAGAGGAGAGCAGAGAACCGTATTTTTGTTTAAAGAAAGAAAAAAAAGTTTTTATTCCCCTTTCTCCGGGTGAAAACAGGAATTCAGAAACCTTATTGCACATCTACAAGACACCATCAATTGTATTCCAAAAGGTGAGTTGGTTACTGTAAAAAAAATGTCAGAGGAGCAAGTTTTTTTTTGTTTTGTTTTTTACAGAAAAACTTTTTTTTTCTTTTTTTTACCCCAATCGCTCCCAAGGTCAAAATCGAAATACCGAAACCTTGTTGCACATCTACAAGACACTTCCAACCATAATCCAAACTAAGAATTGGGTACTGCCAAAAAATGTAAAATGAATACAGGGAACCAGGTTTTTGTGGAAAAACACTCTTTTTTGCCCCCATTTAACCCCAAGAGTGAGAATAAAAATTTCAAAATCTTTTTGCACATGTTCAAGGCACCACCGATCATATTCCAGAAGATGAGATGGCAACTACAGTAAAACACGCTTATAGCGAAGTGCAAGGGACCAACAAATTTGATTGGCTGTAAACGTAATTCGTTATGTCCTTTAGGCCACAATACGTTTTAAAAACTATGGGGAATGAAAATCACTTCGCTGTAAGGTGTAAGCGCAAATTCATTATAAGCTTGTTAGCTTTAACCGTGTTTTACTGTACTTAAAAATGTAAGAGTAGTTTGAGGAAGAAGAAAGTGTGACGAACGGACCAGGATAAAAACAAAATACCGAACTTTCTTTAGAAAGTGTGGGTATAACCAAAACAGTAACCCTAAGTATCAATAAAAAACAGGCAGGTAACGAAATATTATGTCAGTAAATGTCAGGAATATTTTTTTGGAGAGGGGGGAGTATCAACATCTGTGATAACTAACTGTAGGCATAAAAATAGAATGCCAATATGTAACGAAGGCAAAAAATCAATATAGATATTTCATTAGCTAAAGAAATTCAGCACCTCAGTTTCATTGCAAAGGGTCAGTGAGAACTAAAGTTATCCCCTGGAAAACATGTTACGCAATACTGAAAAATCGCATACTGTATACAGTGTTATTTTCGCCCCGTGTTATTTTCGCCCTTTCACACTTGTAAACAATGTTGCCCTGTTTTAAATTCGCCCAGTCACAATTCTGTTAAAGAAATTATACTGTGTTTTTTGAATTCGCTGCGTTTTAAATTCGCCCACTTGTGTGTAGGGCGAAAGGGGCGAAAATTTCCCTGTATACGGTATTTTCTTGGGGGTAAATTTTTCGTGATTTGAGGGTTGGGTTGGGATGAAGATTGGATTTCATGGTGGAAAAAGAAGTTTTGATTTGATCTCTCGATCTCTCTCTCTGGACATGAATATGAATTCATGGGTCTCTTCATAATACCACGAAATGAACGAAAATCAACATGAATTATACTGACCTTGGCCTTTCACCTTTTGACCTAAAGAGGAGTTTTCTTAAGTCGGCTATGACAATAAAATTCCATTGCAAAAGTTCAAAGGGGTACAACCTAAATAAGCAGTTTTTTTTCAATTAATAAGTATATTTTTGCCCCCCCCCCCTTGCTTCCAAAGGGTCTGCATTGATATACAGATACAAATCTATACAATTTATATAACTGTGATTAACATGGGCTCTACAAAAAAAAAAAAAAAAATAAAAAAAAAAAAAACAAAAAAAAAAAAAAAACTCAAGAGTAAGTCTAAAAAATTAACATTTTAAATTAATCCTGTCAACTTAATAATTTTGTGAGATTATGCCTATATAAAATAACATGACTGCATCCTTCTTATTTCATTAAAATCTAATCTAATCAATGTAAAGAATAAATTGCAAAAGTAGATTTTGGTCTTAGTCATAAATTCTTTTGTAAAAACGTGGCGCAGGATTTGAGAAATGTATATACTTGAACGCATATATACCTTTAACATATACTTAAAGAAAACAGTTGCATAAGCAATTTTTGAGTTTTAAGATTGAAAAACGAGGGAGGGGATATAACTAATCTAGAAATAGGAAAGGTGATATTTAAATTCATCTGCAGTGCAACCCCTCAAATTAGGAAGGGGGTATATATAATTATGGAAACACCTCCAGCACAACCAATGAGTCATTAATCGATGCATTACTTCATTTATTTTTATCAGTATGAGAGAACCTTGCAGTTTAATATGTACACTGAATTTAATTGGTAATTAGGTATCAATCTATTCATCTTAAAAATACAAATATATATTATGAGGGTCTACAAGTATTCACTCCTACGTATTGTAACTGCGTTTCCTGTGTGCATTATTGCTGATGACATAGTGTTAATTTTTTTATTTAAAATGAAATTTTATTTGACTTTCATCTATTCTCAGTCTCATTAAAATCCAACCTTCCACTAGCTCCTTTATTTTGATGGTTCCACGCGACCATCAAAATAAAGGAGCTAGTGGAAGGTTGGATTTTAATCAGACTGATCTATCCCCAGCCATAAGACAATATTTAGTATTCGTAGAAACAAAGGAAATTTCAAATCCATTCCTCGGTGATATCCTAGTGACAAATTTTACTTAACAGGTCATTCAAAATAGCCAATAAAGAAACCAGATTCCAAAAATACCTAAGCAATACCATACTTAATTGATCAATATTCATTACATTTATTATAAATAATAATGTTATTATTTTGGTTATATGAGAGAGTTATTGTCGATTAATAGTATTATGTGATATTTTCTCTTATTAGACTTACCCGTTAGACTGGACAGTTTTCCCAGGTAAACAGCACACAAATTGGAGTAAGATTGCAATAAAAACAAAACATCCAAAATTCAGCATCTTCTATCCCGCACAGTTCCTTCGTTCTTGTTATCAATGTTTCTTCTATCCTTGTACAGGCTCCCTTTTTAAAATTTCGCTTGAAATTAAAAGTCCTCAAATTGCTTGGATGAACTGTTTTCGATTTGACAGAAGTGAGACCGAGTGGGTTGTACAGCGGCTTTTTCACATCTTGTTGCGTAAAAAAACCACTTCTACTACAAAGTGACGTGGTCTTTAGGTAAAATCTTCCAACCGTACAAATTAATGCTCTTTCTTAAGTTTATAATTGGATTTCATGATTTAATTCTAACTATAAGATTTCGTCCCTGCAACTATCCTTTCAAAATAAAAATATGAATTTTATCAAACTCAAATTTATGATACTCTTATTTGATTTTCTGAAAATAAGAATTTAATTTGCATACAGTCACTCCCACCCTCTGGACTTAGTCACATTAGCCTCACTTGCGCTCTTTTACCCCTCTCTCAAGGCAGAGAACCCCTCCTCTCTTTTATACTTCAATATTTTACTTTTTATCTTTACTTTTTCCCCCCACATTTTTGGTTTTTCTGACACCGCCCCATAGTAAATCAAAAAACTTTTACCCACCGCTGGTTGAAGGTAGGAAAAAGAAAGGAGAAATATTTGATAGATCAATATGTACTACTTAATTCGGTGAATAAAATAAAAGTAAAATAAACTACATTTAATCGACGTTTCCTTGCTTTAAGTTTGTGGTCTACAAGCTTAAGAGCAAGAAGTGTTTACACGGATACAGATGATTACTTGTTTTGTTTTCCTGCTTCTTGCAGCGGAAGTCTATATGTATACTCTTTCTCTCTCTCTCTCTCTAGATCTTTCTCTCTAGAACCCTCTGTACCACTTTTATTTCATTCACGTATTAAAAAGCCTGAGGCATGCAATAAACCAAATAAATTCTCGGATCTAGAGGGGGTCGGGGGATCCGGACTCCCCCCCCCCCCCTTAGAATTTGCAGAGTTATTGAAAGTATATAGTGAAGCAAATAAAAAATGACTTTGGACCCCCACCCCCCTAGAAAACGATGATCTCACCATAACCACCACGAAATAGGTTTTTTTTTTCACGTTTGGGAATGGGATTTACGACTTAATTTTTCTTTTTTACGACTCGTTGTTTTGTTTTTGGTTTGGTTTGTTCTTGTTTTTTTTTGTGTTTTAGTTAATTATTTTATATATATTTTTTGTTTTTTTACGAAAGCCTATTAGGATCAAACTACGGTAAAAAAAAAAAAATTAAAAGGCGTATAACGCCTTTTCAAAAGGCGTTATAACGCGAAAAAAGGCGTAATAACGCCTTTCCAAAAGGCGTTATAACGCGAAAAAAGGCGTTATTACGCCTTTCCAAAAGGCGTTATTACGCCTTTCTAAAAGGCGTTATTACCCCTTACTAAAAGGCGTTATTACGCCTTTCTAAAAGGCATTATTACGCCTTTCCAAAAGGCGTTATAACGCGAAAAAAGGCGTTATTACGCCTTTCCAAAAGGCGTTATTACGCCTTTCCAAAAGGCGTTATTACGCCTATTCAAAAGGCGTTATTACGCCTTTTTAAAAGGCATTAATACGCCTTTCAAAAAGGCGTTATTATGCCTTTGGGGGGGGGGGGTTCCCATAAACTTGACAAGCAAACAAACAAACAAGAACCCCCCCCCCCCGAAAAAAATAAACTGCCTAAACTTGAGGGGAAACTTTTTCTAATTTTTCGGTAAAACTTTTTTTAAATGCAATGACTTGCCCGAGTTTAACCATACTGCAACAAAATGTTGAGGGACCAAGCAATCAATTAATGATTTTTTATATTTAAACTATAGCAAGACTATTCTCCCAAAAATGGGGTGGGGACCCCCCCCCCCCCCCCACTCACATTCGTACTACCGGCCTGTTTGAAAAGGAGTTGTATCCAAAAATGGAAAGGCGTTATTTTAAAATAGTAAATATATGAAAGATTGAACCAAAGCCATCTTTATTTATGCAATATTTAGATTATAGTTTTAATATTATAAATTATATTATAAATTATAGTATTTTCTATATTCCTGCACATCTCGCAGACAGTTGTTTGCATTTTGCATGCATATTAAGAGAAGTCAGCACTCTACTATTGAAAATCCAGGATATAGGCAGAACCAGCTTTGGGCTTTGCTAGCCACATATTAAAAATTCATGTCAAATTTGAAATATTTTTCTCTCCTCTTGGTAAAAAACAGGAAAGTATTTGCATAGGTATAATGAGCAATTAGCCTTCAACAAAATTTCTGAAATCCATACACCTTGGTAGAAGCGTCTGGCATCAGAGAAGGACTAAGTTGGTTTAACACTGAAAATATTTTACACATTTAAAAATCTTTTTTCCTAGAAATCTAATTATAATCAGCCCCCAGGGTGGGCTAAGTAAGTCATGTATTGAAAAAAAGAGGCGTAATAACGCCTTTTTAAAAGGCGTAATAACGCCTTTTGGAAAGGCGTAATAAAACCTTTTGGAAAGGCGTAATAAAACCTTTTGGAAAGGCGTAATAATACCTTTTGGAAAGGCGTAATAACGCCTTTTAGAAAGGCGTAATAACGCCTTTTAGAAAGGCGTAATAACGCCTTTTGGAAAGGCGTAATAACGCCTTTTGGAAAGGCGTTATAACGCCTTTTGGAAAGGCGTTATAACGCCTTTTAGAAAGGCAAAACGCTTTTTAGAAAGGCGTAATAACGCCTCTTGGAAAGGCGTAATAACGCCTTTTAGAAAGGCGTTATAACGCCTTTTAGAAAGGCGTAATAACGCCTTTTTTCGCGTTATAACGCCTTTTGGAAAGGCGTAATAACGCCTTTTTTCGCGTTATAACGCCTTTTGGAAAGGCGTAATTACGCCTTTATTTGCGTTATTACGCCTTTTCCGCGTTATAACGCCTTTTCAAAAGGCGTTATTACGCCTTTTTTCGCGTTATAACGCCTTTTTAAAAAAGGCGTTATAACGCCTTTTAAATTTTTTTTTACCGTAGTTTGATCCTAATAGGCTTTCGTAGTTTTTGACTTGCTTGACAAGAAATTTTCTGGGTTTGATACGTTGATACCACAGGCCCTTAGATCGCTTTAAAAAAAATTAAGGTGTTAATATACAATATACAGCAATAATTGTTTTATTATATGATTCAATGATTAAATGACACACACTCATTAAGCAATCAATGCCATCTTACTTGTTCACATCTACTGAAGTACTAGCCGAACATAATGAGAGAAACGGGTTAAAAAAAACATTTGTATTAATTGGGAATTTTTAGTTCTAGTTTAGGTGCAATGTAGAAAACATAAATGTCAGGCACATACATAGGATTGATTTTGAAAAAGGGGGATTAAAAGGAAAAAAATGACAACTTATCTGAAAACAAATCTTTTACTAGCCCCCCCCCCCCCCCTCCCTCAAAGGAAGAGAATTCTCCCAACTCAGAATTTTATTTGGTGGGATGTAAAGGTCCATAAACGAGGGGAGGGGGGGGGGTTTCGTTGAATTTAAAAAAAATTATCCTTAAAATTTAATTAAAACTTCACATTCTCAAAAGGTGGGGAGGGGGGGGGGAGGCCTCCTGCAACCCCCCCCCCCCACCCACCCACCCTACCTCTCACTCAAGAATCTATGTGCCTTAATGTTATGTTCATATGACTGGAAGTCAGGTGCAAGTGAAATAACTTTCCAAAACTATTTGCGTCAATTTGGAATTTCCCTATCTATTTTAGGTCCAATGTAGAATAAATAATTCCTTATATTAACCTGGAAGGTCACGTGCAGGTCAATATAACGTAGTATTTTTCTAACATTATTGGATCTCAGTCAATCAGAGAGATGGGTATTATTCAATCATATAATTAAAAAATATCTCTTTTATACACCCAATTTTTTAAAAGTCGGATATAAGCGATCCAAATGCCTGTGGTTGATACAAGAAATTTCTAGATTGATTTTTTGTTGTTGTTGACTGGGGTGGACCCCCTCACACCCCCCTCCAAGAGAAAATTCCTGGATCCGCGCCTGCTATATTTTCACAGCATATTTATTACTGCAGAATAAGATTTAAGAATATTTTATGTAACATTTTGATACTTGATAATGATAATGAAATTGATTTGAAATAAATTTGCTTGCGTCGCCTCCACAATTTAGTCGCGTCTTTTCTTTTTACGGATATATCAAAATTAATGCCCTGTTCACATGGAGAGTTTAATTCGAATTAAAAATAAGTTCACACGGAGAATTTAATGCAAATTAGTTTAATTCGAATTAGTTTACTGCGCATTAAATTACTTCGCATTAGCTCCGTGTGAACGCTAAGCGAAGCTAATTCGAATTAAATTTTGACGCATGCGTAAGGGCAGAATTAAGTCACAGGCCACATGTCGATGGTCAAATATAGGTACTTGTGCTATTTTGAGTGGAAAACAAAGGGAAACAAGATGTGTTTGTGAAACACTGATGCCCCCGTATGGCAACTTATGGCAAAGGTTAAACTTTCTCAAATGCAGATCAAATATGTTGGTACCCAAAGTAAGGTCTTGTCTCGAGGAATATACCTGTGAAATATGAAAGCCCTAGCAGCAACCATTGAATAGATATGGAAAAGGTTAACGTTTTTTCAAAAGAATGTCAAACATCAAGGTCAAATGGTCAAAATTAATGGTGCCCAAGGAAAGGCCTTCTCCCAAGAAATACACAGGTGAAATATGAAAGCCAAAGCACCAATCTTTCAAAAGTTATAACCAAGGTTAAAGTTTTACAAAAGTAGGTCAAACTCCAATGTCAAGGACAAAGGGTCAAAGTTGTTTGTATCCAAAGAAAGGTTTTGTCACAAGGATTATATATGTGAATTATGAAAGCCCTAGCACCAACAGTTCAAAAGTTATGGCCAAGGTTAAAGTTTTACAAAAGTAGGTCAAACTCCAAGGTCAAGGTCAAAGAGTCGGAGTTGTTGGTATTCAAATGAAGGTCTAGTCACAAGGACTACATATTTGAAGTATTTAACCGAAGCATCAACCATTCAAAAATTATGGCCAAGGTTAAAGTTTTCAAAAAGTAGATCAAACTCCAATGTCAAGGTCAAAG